AAAATGTATAATAGATAATGTGAAATAGGAAGAAAAGGGGCAAAGGGGAAGGGGAAGTGGGAGGGGTAGGGGAAAGGAAAGAAGGGAATGGAATTAACATGAGAAACTGAAAAAATGGAAACAAAGTATTTGTAAATAGAGAGGGGTGGAGGGGTTGAAGGGAGGGCAGGGGAACTGGAAAAAATAAGAATCAAGATATATTATGTAAAGGTACAAATCTCCAATGATGAATGTCATTATACAGTGTCACTGTATACCTAACATGTACCAATAAAATTAATTTTAAATAAAAAAGAAATGTGATTGAGACAAGCTATGATGTTTAGTTGTCTTTCAGCTCAGAGTAAGAAATAAAAGTCAGAGAATTCTCATCTTATTTTGGCCAGTATTTGATACCCTAAGTACTGAAGGCTTGTTTATATTCTTCCATTTTTGCAAGCAAAAATTTGGTGCTCTGATAAATTACATAAGATTTTAAACCATGTGGACAAGTGCTTGTCCTTAAGTTCCATATTCATTATAAATATTTTTTCCCCTTCCTACACTGAGGATTGAACCAAGGACTCTGAGCATGCTGGGCAAGCATTTTACCAGTGAGCTACATCCCCAGTGCTTATTTTGAGATAGGATCTCACTAATTGCCCAGACTGGCCTCAAATTTGCAGTCCTCTTGCCTCCCAAGTAGTTGGGCTTACAGATGTATACCACTGTGCCTGGATCATTGTAAACTCTTTAAATGATAATCTGAACAATGTTTGAAAGTGATACTTGGTTGATTTTTTTTTTTTTAATACCCTCCAGTTTGTGAGCAACAAGTAGCTCACAACAGGCCAATACAGTACAATTCATTTTTAACCTATAGTCTCTCAAGTAACAGAGCAGGGTCATATTTAGTGCTAGTATGAGAAAGACTTCTAAGAATTAACTTCGCTATTTTAATATTGACTAGGTTTTTAAATAATAGTAAGCAGTGAAACCTTACAGTGTAGGAAAATTAACTGATAGTCTTTCCTTACTGTGAGATCAATAGAATTCATAAAGATTTGTTAATAAAACATACCTGCTTTTGTGTTTGTAGTTTTTATATTTTATTTTTTGTTGTTTTGTGATTTTTTTAAATCAACTTTGTAATTTGGACTATTCTGTTCTGAGTTTTGGTGGGATTTTATTGTACATGTGTGTTGTAAGTTTACGAATGCCTTTTTTGTATTTTTAAAAATAATCATAGTTTTAACAAGTCTGTTTTGTAACTGCAGTTTTTTCCCATACTAAAGTCCTACATAGTCTATGTTATAGCTGGACATTGCCATTTTCAGGATGTAGAATTGAGATTTTATAAGGATTTACATTTTATATTGTGAGGAATGAGACCATTGGATTATCTTCTTTATATTTATTTAAGACACAAGGAAAACAGTTTGAAAGCAGCTTCTTCCTGGAAACACTTTGCTCTGAGATCAGTTTCTGGATTGGATATATTCTGAGGAAACTTTCTGATTCCCATTTGACTAGAGTCTGTGTTTGTGAATTCTAGAAAGCTTTTCATCCCCCTCAGAAGAATACCTGATAGTGGCATATAGTTTGAGTCAGAATTGAATGGATAGATAACATCCTCCCCACTCTTTCCTGTGAGTATCATGGTGAGCATGTCTCAGCAGTCCTTGTCCCTGCAGGCTGGCAAGGTACGAAAGCATGTGGCAGAGCAAGAAAAGCCAGAGGAGGGCCTCGGCCCCAATATCAAGAGCATCGTCACCATGCTCATGCTCATGCTGTTGATGATGTTTGCTGTGCACTGTACGTGGGTCACTAGCAACGCCTACTCCAGCCCCAGCGTGGTCCTGGCCTCCTACAACCATGACGGGTGAGGACACAGCATAGCTACACATTTTATATTAGCCCACCCAGCCCCTGTTTTCCCCTCCTCCTCTGGGGGACATGCTAGGCAAGTGCTCAACCACCAAACTACCACCCCCCCAACCTATAAATCTGTATTGATATGGCCCTTACCCCATCTTTGGTGGGATGAATAGTAATAATTGTATTTCGTGCTGTTTCCCACAATATTTTCCATAAATAATCATATACATAGGTTTTTCTCAAAGCATGCTCCTTGGACATACATTATCATCACTACTATGAAATGTTTTAGAAATACAAATAATTGACCCACATCCTAAGCCTGTTGAATCAGAAACTTGGGTGTGGAACTCAACCGTCTGGTTTAACAGGCCAGTGTGATTCTGTGGAGCTAAAATTTTATATATTGTCTTGCCTCTCCCCCTTCTGTTCACATAGGAGCTTAGTAGATGGGTAGAATATTAGGCCCTACCCCAGAACACTACTGGATCAGCATCTGGTTTTATACAAGATATGTAGGTGACTTGTTTGCACAATAGTTTGAGAAACACTGTCTAGCTTTTCTCCTTTTTGTGTTTTCTTTGGGTTTAGTACCTCAGTATTTTAAGTTACCCTCTTCACATTTATAAATTTCATTTAGAAGAATATTGTGATTCTTTTCAGCACCAGGAATATATTAGATGATTTTAGAGAAGCCTACTTTTGGCTAAGGCAAAATACAGATGAACATGCCCGAGTCATGTCATGGTGGGATTATGGCTATCAGATAGCTGGAATGGCTAATAGAACTACATTGGTGGATAATAACACCTGGAATAACAGCCACATAGCACTGGTAAGGATTTGTGTTTTTTAAAAGAAATCAAAAATAAATCTTTACTACTTAGCAATTAGGCTTTACGTATGATTAAATAAGAAAATGTGGATGAAAGTACTCTCTGCTTGCTGAATTCTCAAAATACAACTTTGCAAATGTATTCAATAAAGTGACTTCAGATGTGCTTACTTTGTTTTTAAGAATGATACTTATTTATATAAATATCACTCAATTGTACATTGATTATACTGGTAGATTTTGTTATATGTTTCACTTACTGGAGATTTAAGCAAAGTCTAAAGCTTTTAAAAGGCATTTTTCATTATAAGAAAAATTATTTGCAGTATTTAGCAACTGCATTGTGTTTTATGACTGCAAATCATGCTCATTTAGTCTGTTCAAAGATTACACAAATTAAGATAATCAACTTTAAAAGATTTTTGAATGAATACGTGGGTCTTAATTAAATTAATTCTATTTGTATTTGTAGCATAGCCAATCATCAGATGTATGCTTGGCTAAAAATATATGTCTCAGTAAAATCACTGGCCAGCCCTGTGGGTTGTAAGAAATTGTCTCTTAAAGCTTGCTTACTTTCATTTTTAAATGTTAATTTCATAGAACTTAGGTATTTACAAAATAGTATAACATGTATTCAGATTTTGACATTTCTGATATAAGTTGCTTATACTAGGTGAGATATTTATAAATCTCAAATGTTTTGAATTCATAGAAAATCATTTCTACAAAAATATTCTTCGTAAATAAAATTGTACATTCACTTTTATCGTGTAGGTGGGAAAAGCCATGTCTTCTAATGAAACAGCGGCCTATAAAATCATGAGAACTCTTGATGTAGATTATGTTTTGGTTATTTTTGGAGGAGTTATTGGCTATTCTGGTGACGATATCAACAAGTTTCTCTGGATGGTTAGGATAGCTGAAGGGGAACATCCAAAAGACATTCGGGTAAGAAACTAGATAGTCCTAGGTATTTAAAAGAAAGCTAACAGTATTCAAATAATTCTCTTCCCTTGCAAATTCTGTTCTATTTGTTTTCATCGTTCTAACTCCCAGATTAGTCCTTTACTTGGACTTTACTATTTATTAAAGCTACTAGAAGCATTTCCTAGGTTTGAAACTTCTGAAACACATGCATGATACAGTCATTTGCTCCATAAATACTTTTAGATCAGACCACTATATGATACTATTATGTTGTATAGTCTGAGTAATAGGATATTCCATTTAGATTTGTGTAAGTGCATTCTATAATGTTCTCATGACAAATCCTTATGCTTGTACTTCCATTCCACCCTGCAGTGCAGTCCTTTGCCGTGACTTCCTGATTCTACATCTTCACAGCCTCTCCCTTCAGCCTTTTCTTTCCATTTCCTTGGCTTCTAACCCTGCACTGACCCTTAACCCTGAAAAAAGACAATAACCTTGAAATTGCTGTCTTTGGGTCATCACTACGGACATGTCAACAATAAGTCATTTTTATTGCTGTTTTGAAAATTTGTAGTAATTTTAATAGGTGTAGCCTTATCCTAGTGGCCAGCACAAAGTAGGTAATCTGTTGGTGAATCATTGGTACAAAGTCCAAACTCCTTACGCTGGAATATAAGCCTCTTTTTTTTAAGATTAGTGGTACATTTTAGGTGTACGATATGATGACATCACTGGGAATTTGTCCATTTACATGATATATCTTGATTCTTATTTTTTCCGTTTGCCTGCCTTCCCTTCCACCCCTTCACCCCTCCCTATTTACAAAGACTTTGTTTCCATTTTTCCTTTTCTTTTACTTATTCCTTTCCCTTCTTTCCTTTTCCCTTTGCCTCCCACTTCCCCTTCCCCTTTGGACCTTTTCTTCCTGTTAAACATTTTGATCCTTACTACACTTTCAGTTTCTCACACCAGAGAAACTATTTGGTATTTATACATGTGTGTCCTATTTATTTCATTAAAGAGTATGGCCT